GGGCAATCTCATCTCTATAAATACACTTCAATATGTACAGCACCAAAAGTTTAGGGGCAGTAAGATTTATTTTTATTTTGAAAGAAATTAATACTTTTATTCAGCAAGGACAAATTAAATTGATCAAAAGTGACAGTAAAAATATTTATAAATAAAATAAAATAAAAATATGTAAATAAAAAAATAAGTGTTGTTCTTCTCAACTATCTGTCCAAACCCTGAACAAAAGAATGTCTCAAAAATATTAAGCAGCACAACTACTTTCAAAATTGATAATATGATATGTTTCTTGAGCACCAAATCAGCATATTAGAATGAAATCTGAAGGATCATGTGACACTGAAGACTAAAGTAATGGCTGCTGAAAATTCAGCTTTGCCATCACAGGAAAATTAAAATTACATTTTAAAATATTATTTTAAAACATTTACATTTTTTTATACTTTTTGCCCTATTTTTACTGGAACATAATATTCCAACTACCTCATCAGTGACAATACAAACACTTCACATATGTTCTGGAAACATTATACATTTTGGCATGAGAGTTTGCATTTTGTTACATGCCGGTACAGAATAAATCTAGATGGGTAATGCTGAGTGTGCTAGAAATGCACATAAAAGAAAAGAGGCACCTGCATTAACATGTTGAGCTATGGAAACACTTAGGGTGTGGTGTGAGCTGAGCAGGATTTTTTTCCCCTGTTGTTCCAGACAAGAGATTGTGGGGGGAAAACAGGTTATAGGAAGTAAAACAATCAACATCTCTAAACTCATAGTGTTGGTTCTTTTCCTCCTTGTTTAAAAGGTAAACACTTCCAAAGTGGGCAGGAAAAGACTCCCCACCAAGGGCTGCTGAATCAGTCTTTTTACCCTCCCCCTGCCTACTGCACCAAACCCAGCTACCCTCACTCTGACCCAGTCACATCCTCCAGGAAACCCCCCTGCTTCAGCTCAGGACAGTAAGAAAGTAATTTCCCTTAACCAGGAAATTAACGTTCTTAGAATTGACAGACAGTTGACCCTGAGAGGTCAAGTAAATATCTACAGCGGATCTAAATATTTATAATTAATTATAACTAGTTATGATTAATTATTCATATTTCCCCATGAGCTGATTCGCTACAACTTTAATGACCAGACTGCCACATCAGAAGCATGAGGTATATGTTCCCCTCCTTGTCTGTCTTTAATATTTCCTTTTTTCTCCTCAGTACTCCCTCAGTTCTCATCAAGTTGAGTTGCGTTAGATTCCTTCGCCCCTCCTCCATCACTAAACCACATATGGTTCTCATATATAAATCCATGTCATCAAAGTCTAACTCAAAGCCAAGGAAACGGAACATGGTGCACAAATGCACGAAAGTTTACATCTTTCTGAATGTGTTCGTAAAATGTCTGAAAAGCAGTGGTTTCCAGCTTTTGTGTCATAAGCAGAAATTCTGCATGAAGAATTCAAGTTTTTACAGCTTGAACCAAGCGGCTTTGGGGGTAGCGAGTGAAAGAAAGGGGGTTAGAAAGAGTTCTGAGATGCCACATCAGAGGGGGGCTTTGAAAAAGGAGACTTGTGGTTAGTTTCTCCAACTGCTGGACACAAAAGGCAGTGTGGTGGGAAGGGGCGGCTGCTGAAGATTGCTTAAAATCTGTTTACACTGCTCATTCATCGGCGGTAACAACAATACTACAGCGAGAATAAGTTACGCCTTCTTTCTTTGCGTGAACGTTTGGGCGGCGTTATGCAAATCTTCTCACATCGTGACGTAGACATGTGGGGTGTGTTAGAACGAGCCGTTTTAGGTAGGTGTGGCTGACTCTTAACTTTTATAAAGAATATCTCTTTGGATTTGAGACTTTAGTCTTTGCAACTTTACAGATCTTCTTTATGCACCAAGAGCTTGTAACACTCCAAAGAGAAAGGAAAAATTGAAATCGCATCATATGACCCCTTTAAGATAAAAGACACAGTTGTAGTTCTCCCTGTATCCCTTAAAGGATTTTTTCAGGTTCATATGAAGTTAAAGGGATAGTTCACCCAAAAATGACAATTCTGTCATTCTGTATGCTGTTATTTTGGAAGTCAATGCTCCTTTTGTCCATACAGTGACTTCTTAGTGGGAGGGGGATGTGCTACATTGAGTTACAACAAACTCAGAATCTTATGAGATTTGTGAACGTCAATGGACGGGAAGACTATTAGTGAATACAGTCCTTGGAGCTTGATAGATGGGGTTTTTAAATGTTGTCATATGAAAAAAGAGAGAAAACGTTCCTCAGCTTAAAAAAATGCATTCATTGACATTAACATGTTTCTATGGATGTCTAGGCAGCAATGTTTTTTTTTTTTTAAAGTTACTTATTGATTTGATCATACTAGTCACATGTTAAAGACGTGTAAGTGTTGAGGATATACTCTAAAAAGTACTGTAGCATTTATCCCAGTTCCACTGACCTCCATTGTAAACACTACTGTAAACACAATTTTTTTTGCTTGTTTTTATAAAGTGAGAGACAAGCCAAAGTAATTCTGTGGTAATAGACTGTATGCCACAGATGAACCTGGAATATTCTTTGAAGATATGTTCCCATGTGCCCTTTATATGTGGTTTGTGAATTACCATACATTGGCTGCAATGATAAACAAACCAACTTCTGAAGAACTTTTATTTTGGACAAAAAAGTGACAGACTCTCTTCTGAAAAGAATGATGCAACAAGTGCTGCCTAATCCCAGAGTCTCCGATCTGTCTGACACACACAAACACACACACATGAGCTCACTGCAAAAATGAACTCTTTTTTTCATCAAGAACTGCAACAGAGTCGAGTCCTTCCTCTGATAGAATCTAGTGTCCGAGCTTCTGAGAAGGAACTGTGGGTCACAGAAGCGGTGCTGGGTTGGGCTGTGTGTGGGCACAGTAGGGTCGACCCAGTTCAGCTGCCCTATGCAGAGCGTGTTGCATCAGGCCGGAAAAATGCTCCACTCAGCCACCAGGGCACTAATTACAGAGGACCTATGCTGAGCTCGACAGGAAGGACGTCAAAGACCAAGCATGGGGATGGAGGGAACGAGGCAAGAGAGAGAAAAGGAGAGAGAGAAGGTAGAAAAAGCAGTGGAGTGAGGAAGAGGGCCCTTAACAGCTAGTAATGCTGTAAAAATAGAAGGGTGGGAGTTGAGACGCAGACAGGGTGTGAACATTTTCTGAGGCATTATATTTACCTTCTCATGTGCATTACGTAACCAGCCAACAATAGGTTTCAGAGATAATGAGTCTGGAACTGTTACAAATAACCTTCCTCTTCACACAACCAATCATGAGCTGCACATGGAACAGTGTGTGGAACACAATCTGCCTATACAGATCTGCAGAAAAGATATTAGTAAGGTTTTGTTGCTTAAAATTGAATGAGATAAAGGAGCTGCTTTTTTAACCTTCATCCCGACTAAAAGGGCAGTCTGAGAGACAGAAGCATGTGACTTGTAAATAAAGATTTGTGGAAAGTCTGCCTCCTTGTGGCATGTGAACAATACTGCTTTAGACTCCTGCCAGGCAGTAGAAAAAAAAATCAAATGGTAAATCTTTACAATAAAATTCATTTTGTTAACTGTATTGGTATTTACTTTACAGTTAAAAGGTTTGGGGTCAGTATAAATTCTTTAAAAAAAAAAAACTTATTCAGCAAGGATGCATTAAATTGATCAAAAGTAACTGCAAACACTTACATTTTTACAATACATTTCTATATATTATTTTGAAATTTCCTAATAAAGGATACCAGCAAAAAAAAAAAAAAATCCACAAAAATATTAAGCAGCAGAAATGTTTTCAACTGATGATAAATCTTTCTTGACCAGCAAATCTGCATATTAGATTGGCTTCTGAAGGATGATGTGATTGAAAATATAGTTTTGCCATTATGGGAATAAATTACATTTTAAAATATATTAAATTATAAGTCAGTTATCAAATTTTAATATTTCACAACATTACCGTTTTATTTTATTTTTTGACCAAATAAAATGCAGCCTTGGTGAGTATAAGAGACTTCTTTCAAAAACAAAATATTACTGGCCTCAAACTAGAGTATAAAAAGTATAAATAAATATAGTTCGTAGTATAAATCTAGGTTAATGTTAATTTCTAAATATACCAATACATCAACTTTTGTATAAATTAACACTAAATGTATTACAATGACTTGGCGATGAACAACTTTTTAAATTAACAATCGACGTTCATAGAAGTATAAAATAATAATTGTAAGTTTATACCTAATGCAATAATGCTAAACAACATTGTAAAAAGTTACTAAATTGTAATACTAAATACAACCATTATATGGTTGAACAGTCGTGAACGAATCTAGACTTCTAGACAGAAACAGTAAAATGGTAAAAGGTGAGTTTCCCCACTTCATTTTTGACTAAAATACATTAACAAATAACTACATTAAAATGTATAAATAAATAGAAGTGTTAAAACTGCACAAAGGTACGATTGATTTAAAATAGCAGGTCAAAAACTAGAAGCATCACCAACTTGTTCTGATGTAACCAAGCCTAGCAAATAAAATTCATAGATCTGTTTATGAAATCTGTAAGTTATTTCAGACAAACAGAAATTAAAGTGGCTGAATAAGCTTGAAAATAAAAGTGGGGCAATTGTCAACTGAATCCGTGCATTGGGTACCATCATGTGCGATGCAGACGCAACGTAAACCTGTAACTCCAGTATGACAGTGAAAGTTGATCTCCTACAAGAACCGAGAAAGAACTGGTTTTCAGTTCTTAGATGTAACCTTTTTATTATTTGTACATTCAGCACTTACAGGAGTAAACTAAAAATTTAAAGAAAACAAAATGTCACCTTTTATGCTAAAATAAAAAAAAAACAACAATTTAAAACCAAATGTGAAAAGGTTAAATATGCATCCCATTCTCCATGGCAACAGCAAAAGGGTGGTGAAAAAGAGACAGAAAATAGGGCACCAAAAAAAAAAAAACCTTACAAGGAATGTGAGGAAAACAAGAGGAAAATGCAAAGTAGTGATCAGGACTTAAATCACACCAAAGCCTTTTAGAGCATCACTCTTTCAGTTCTGTGTTGACTACACTGAAGGAGAAAGAGGAGGTCACCAAACCTGGAGGGTGTCTTGCAGTCCAACCCACTTATACCGGAAGTCCATTAACACTGTGGCAGAGAAATGAACACCAGGGGTCTTAAAAGTCCAATCAAGAGACAACGAGATGAGTCTACATGGAGACACAGCACTACTGTGGTCCCAGTGTGTGTGATTGCACCCATGTGTCTTTACGCAGAGAGTGTGTGAATGTGTGTGTTTTTATAAAGTCTGAGTTGGTCCTCAGGAAGGTAGGCATAGAGCTGTTACAGGACATACAGGAACAGGGGTCACAAAGTGGACAGTTCCAGACTTCCCTTAGCGTCGTCGTTCTCTGGGTGGAGGGTCGCTGTGGCTTCGTGACCTCCTGCTCCCGCTTGCACTGTTTACACCAGGCCTACGGTAGCCCTCCTTCCGTTTATCCCCCTCTCGCTCCCTTTCTCGACCTCTGTCTCGGTCTCTCTCACCTTCCCCTCCGGTGGGCCCGCTAGTCTTCATCCTCTCTCGCCGCTCCTCCTCACGTTTCTTATCCTCTTCTTCCATCTCTTTCCTCCTCTTCTCTCTTTCCCTCATGCGCTCAGCACGAGCTGCTGCCCTCTGTGCTGCCTGCAATGCAAAGTGTGATGGGTAATGAGCACTGGCATAACATCATATAAATTAAAAACATTTTTCCTTAGCAAACACCGCTAATAAGTAACTGAAACGTGCAAAGACACATACCTGCTCCTCAGTGAGGGGGAGCCAGTAAATGCACGGAGCCGCTTTGGTTTTGCGGAAGAGGTCATCCAGCAGTTTAGCAGGTGGATCCTCTGGTCCTTTTTCTAAAAAGACACAAAGAAAGTTCACTAATAGTAATGGATTTAAATATATTTATAAAATACATATTTATTTTTAACATTTAAATAGAAATTTAATTAAAAACAAAACAATTTAAATCACTAAAAGTTAGCATTTCTAATGCTAAAAAAATAAATTTTAAATATTTAAATGATACATATTTATATTACTATATATGTATTATACAAACACAAACACACACACACACACAAATAAAAAAAAAGATAAATGTAGATAAAGTAGTATTAAAATAGAATAGAAAGTGCTAGAGTTAGAGAGTCAAATAAAGGTGGAACATGTGTTTTTAGTCGTTTCTTGAAGATGGCTAAGGACTCAGCTGCTCGGATTGAGTTAATCGGATTGTATTAATTGTATATTAATACAAATGTGAAATATAAATAATACATCATTAATGATAATAATAATACATTTATATATTATATGTAAAATTTAAATATGAAATTAAAATATACTATTTAAATATCATCTTAAGTTAAAAAATAATAAATTAAAAATGTATATAATACATTAACATAAAATTTACATATAAATACACATTAACAACCAAATGCTCCTTAAATAAATACCAATAAACGTACACAAATAATAACAACAACAACAACAAATTACTCTACTGCACAAAAGGTGACTGAGGAATTTTACACTTAAATTTTCCTCACCCTTCTTATCGGTTTTCCTCTCTTTGCTCTTCCCTCTTTCCTTGCGTCGCCTTTCACGATCTCGTGATCGCGATCTTCTGGCCCCAGCTTCCCGCTCCTCTCCAGGTTTGCTGAAGTCTCTGACTTTATCTCTGTCCCATTCCCTTTCTGCACGTGTTCTCTCCCTCCTTTCCATTTCCCTTTCTCGTTCTGCCCACTGATCACGCTCTGGTAGGAGAGGAGTGGGTACGGGACGGCCAGGCCCAGCAGCTACCGCCCCACGAGGCTCCTCTGTTGGTTTTTCGCCTGCTGGACCCAAACCCCTGTGGAAGTCCAACTGATGGAATGTACCAGGATTGAGGGAGAATTAGTTTCCATAAAAAAAAAGAAAAAAGAAAACCGAATACGTTCTCATCATTAAACTCAGTAAATTAAATTAAATCCTTACCTCCTCTTGCGTGCAGAAATCAACACTGAGGAACTTAGGGTTACTCTGGGGCCACTTAACCCCATGTAGCGCTGTACGAGTGGCCATTGCCTCTTCTGCACTAGAGTACTGAGGGAAAGCAAAGATAGTGAGAGGATAAGAAAAAGAAATTCACAAAAACAAAAAACTAAAGATCCAGAGGGATGCAGGGAGGAGACTTACTGTGACGTAACAGTGAGATTTAATCTTGTCAATCCAGAAACCTTCCTCCACTACAGTCCCTGTGCGATTCAACAGCTCCTTCAACTGCCCCAGCGTAAACGGCCTCACCTTAAAAACAATACAAAAGAAGCCTGCGGTCACTCAACCTGGGACAATAAATCCCTATGCATGTAGCACACACACATACACACACACACATACCAGGTTGCAGACATGGACAATGTTAGACAGCTTTCCACGAGGAGGAGAGGGTTGTTTGGCTGTGCGGACTGGGTCATCGATGGTGATACTCACACCCGACTTCTGCTGGCTAATGGAACGCCGAATCAGTGTGTCACTGGGAGTGACTAAGCAGGAAACAAAATAGGAGAAAGGGGTAAGGGAGACTAAAAACAGACTCTGCTTCTATGGAACGCAATGTCAGACTTTTCTATGTAAAACTTCCATAAATTTCACACTACTGCGCACACACACAAAAAAATTATAATTGAATCTTCCTTTTGTAATTCTCACCTGTCTTCATTTCAACGTCTCGCCCAGGGGATGACGGCTCCGTCTCCATGGAAACCTGAATGGAGCTTTCCATCTTTTCCTCCTGGCTAAGCCTATCCTGCCCTTCACTTCTTTCTTCCTCATCCTCATGTTCACTTCTTTTAGATTCTTTCTGTCCATTCTCTTGTGTGTCAGAGGGCACAACCTGTTCAGATGGTGGTGGGGGGGAGCAATAGATATTTTACCAAAAGATTATTCCAACATATGCAAATAATCAAACACACATCTTTACTTCTAGTAGAGGAAAAACACGCACCTGTGTTACAGTTCGCCTAATTTTCAGGTCTTGGTCGCCCCTCTCTCCTCCTTCCTCCTCCCCAGAGAGATGCATCTCCTCCGGATGCAGGTCTAACACAGCCTCCTGACCCAAAGCAGGCTTGATGTCTGGTATTAAAGACTGTAAAGAATGAAGAATGCATTATGTTACTGTTCATCAGATGAAGGAAGAGGTGGATATTTTTTTAGAATAACAGACATCTCTTTAATTTTTATTTCTTATTTATCTGACCTTCAAAGAGTCTGTGGTGATACTGATGGAGGGTTTCTTGGCAGTGACAGCTGTACTGGAGCCCCATCTTCTTTTCCTGCCAGCGCCAGCACTGCTTGCGGCCTCCGCTTCTCCCTCAGAACTCACCACCCCAGGAGACTGTTTGCTGCCTGAGGGAAGATAGCATATGGCCATCGTCGACATCTTTGATTTTAAAGCTTTATGGATTTCATACTTATCACCATTGTATTATTGAGACTCTGTAAAATAACATATTCAAAAGTTTGCAGGTCAGCAAAAAATATTTAATTGGAAGAAATTAATACTTTTATTCAGCAAGGATGCATTAAATGGTTCAAAAGTTACAGTAAAAGAAAATCTTTTTTTTTTTCTTTTCTATTCATCAAAGAGTTCTAAAAAATTGATGACACAAGTATTAAGCAGCATAACATTTATAATAAGAAATGTTTTTGAACACCAAATCAGCATATTATTAAATGATTTCTGAAATACCATGTGACACTGAAGACTGGAACAATGGCTGCTGAAAATTCAGGTCTAACAAATTATTACACAACCTTATATCTTTTAAACAGTAGTGTATACAGTGAATGATCTCTCCAAATTAATCACTTCAGGGGAAACGTGGAGATACTCACTGCCGAGAGAAATCCTTCGGGCCGAGAAGGTCTTTGGCGTGGTGCTCTGAAAGAGAAAAAACACACCCAAGCCCGGGGAAAAGGTGAGATCGTATATATGGAAAGAAATCACAAGATTCAGAGTGTGGAAAAATGTGTGCGCATGTATGAAGGAGATGAAACTGAATAACAAATAGAGACCAAAAGAAAGTGAGCCTTCAGCAAGGAACTGGGTAAACAGATATGAAAGGAAATCTATTAGGAAAGACCGCCTCTTCAGTAAGAGTGTGTACACACACACAGTGTGCGCATGTTCTTCATGTGTTTAGAAGTTATCTATTTCTATTATGTAATCTATTTCTGCTCTGAAGATGCAGTCTTGTCCTCTCCTACACAAAAATACTTTTTAAAAAGGCTTTGCTGCAGTTATCTATCTCACTGAGCAGCCCCTCAGGTTGAAATATCCTTTGAGGCAGTTACTGTAGTGAGGAATTAAATAAAGAATTGTTTTTACATTAGCTCTGCAGTGGCCTAATGTATAAATATACATCTACTCTTTATCCAGTAGACAATAGTTCCATTTTAGGGTTACCATGGAGTCTTGGCAAATATTAGTATTGTCTAGGCAAAACATTTAAAGTAGAAAATGGAGAATGACTACTTATTTCCCGGTACCATTGACACATGTTCTTCACTCGGTTGGGAATGGCCCAATCGCACGTCTGCATGTACTGTATCTAGGCAACAACAGTCCAATCAAAGAAGGATGGGAAGTTTGGGCAGAGATCTGAGAGCAGGCTGGCAGAAGAACTCTTATGTAGAACAATGTGGGTGGAGTTTGAGAGGCTCTGAGTGTCTTTTTTGAAGTCCATCGTATTGGCATGAAATCGGAACGTGGGAGGAGTCTTTCAAACAAACTGCTGAGAAACCTTTCAGAAGACTGAGTCGGTTTTATTTGTGAAGATGTCCATGTTACGAGGAAGACTGCACAAGGTTTCTGTCTGTTCAGGTTGAATGATGCAGTTTCAGTCAAGCAGCCACAAAACAATGAAACAGATCAAGTCCATTTTCAAACTATCAGTTATAGTCCACAGAAAAATGAGAAAGCAGTAAAATCCAGCACATCCAGTTGTTGTGCTAAAGTGCATGATATCAGAGTTCAAAATGTCCTTAGGAGTTAAGACAACACATCATGGTTTTTCCACAGGATAAAAAAATAAACTAGTCCCATGATATAGCAAACAACTGGGACAGTCGCTGGAAAATGTCTCCATTAAAGCCAAAAAAGTCACACTGAACAGTTCTGAAGATGTCCATTTATTTGCTTACGGTTTCTGGCAATCTCATTTCCACCCTTGCTGCCATCTTGAGCCAAACTGACACAGGCTCATGAGACACTCAGCAAAACGTCACACCCATATTACTCAGCCTTTCATTAGCAGTCCAATCAACAGGTGCTTCCAGCCAACGCCATTGAGGAAACGTGGCCATTGTTGCCTGGTGTGTTGCACTGCAGAGCAGACTCAAGGGCCTATCAGGTAAAGCCATGACGCTTGGAGACAGTGGAACAGATGCTGTAGTAGAAGTAGTAGTTGTATGCAGGTACCAATAAGGGCAATGGAAGAGGCATGAGCACCTTTACAACAAAGCAATCAAGGGGGTTTTAAACATTAGCCAAAGTGAGAGAGTGCCCCCTGCTGCTTCTGTCTAGGACAGCTTCAGCAAAGGTTCACACAACATCATCTGTGACCACAAAAAAGGGCAAATTATACATAGAGCTGCTAAATTAGCTTATGTACAAGTGAACATAATTAGTAATGACTGTATGTACCTGTAATAACAATGCATTTGTATTGAAAAATAAAGGGGAAAGGAGACAGCAATTTATAAAACCTATCCCTTAATGTGGGGGATAACTGGCGACTGGTAGAGTTGGGTAAGCCCAGCACTCCTCTGTGCTCTTACCTCCTCACTGCTCTCTGGAACCTTCTCAGGCTCCGCCATGACAGCCTCCTTCACCTCACTACTGATAAAGACAGGGGCAAAGAGAAAAGGGGGAAAAAAGAGGGGAGTATGTAAAAAATAATAAGTCTCAATTTGCTATAGTCACAGTAAAAGCCTCAAGTTTTTTTTTTTTAAAGAATTTACAGGGATATAAAGTTATCATTTACTCGCCCTCAACTGATATTAGGCAAAATAAGAGTCTCAGTCTCTATTCACTTTCATTGTATGGAAAAAAAAAAAAATGCAATGAAAGTGCTTGTGACTGAGATTAATATTCTGCCTAACATCTCATCCTCTTTTCCATGTAAGAAAAAAAGTCATATAGATTGAAACAACATGAATGTGAATAAATAATGACTATAAACAACCCATATATTTTAGGCAATTTATAGAAATCCTGGCCAGGACGTGTCTGAGGGAAAAGATAGGACCTATGGTCAGCCTATTGAAATGACACTTTTAAATGAACACTACTAATCTAGTCAACCAGAATCAGTCAACTCCATATGGGAAAAAAATAACAATTTATGACAACTTACAACGAACAGTGTATCCTGAAATGCACACAGATCCCTACAATATCCACTACCTCCAAAACAGAGACTGATCAATCATCTCTACAAACACCAGCAACAATTGCAGGTATCCTTTTACAAAAAACAGTTCCAGAAAAAAAAAAAAAAAATTCTGTGCTGTATCTATAACCTTGCGAATGCAGTTTCACATTGACATCCAAATTAAAGCTCCAGGCTACATGTCGACTAAATGCAGCGCTCATCCCGCAGAGTGGAGTGACACGCGTGGCGAAGCGTTACTGTTTGTTTTTATTCTCTTTTAGATCGTTCAAATGGCCGACAAAAGAAGCAAAATACGTGCGCCCTGATACTAACACATCACTAGCACATAAAGAGACATGATAAAAACCGTTACGCCGCATTGTGGAATGCGAGTACATGAGTGTAGCGCCGAGCATAATCTCTTTCCTCCCCGTCGAGCAGCATAATGCACAATGAGATCAAGCACCTATAAGCGATTGTCTAATGACTACAAAAGGACGGGACTTCGCGAATTCATTGAACACCACTCGCCCAAAGCTAACGGGCCACCCTGAGCCCCGTGTTATTGGTCAAACGCGTAGTACATCCATGTTAGATGAGAGAAAGAGAGGTGCGCGACTCACTTCGGCAGGACCCCATTATCACCGGCTGAGAGGCAGCCGCACTGATTGCCTGTTCTTAATCCACACGAATTCAATAACACGCTCTTGAAACGAGCTACATGCCGTTTTGGGGAGGAACTAAAAAGCTAGCGACGCCACTAACTTATCTACGTTAGTAGCGCAATAGTAACTGTTTAAAACAGTGAATCTTTAAGCCGTGTTGTTGTGTTATATCGTATTGGAAAGTCCGATTCGTTTTAAGTGAATCGGTTTGATCGAGCTGTTCAAAATGATTCCCAGATTCATTTGATTTCATTATATCTTCAGTTTCGACGCAAATTATACAAGATAGATAAATAAATATATAAAATAAAAGAATGTATGTTTGCTGGTTTCATCCCTTCTTTATTTGTCCGTAAATGCAGGCGTTTCTGAGGGCTAAAATTATGTCTCATACATTTAATATCTGAAGCAGGAGAACAGACACAGCCATATGCAAATCAATCAAAGCAGCTTACAACCAAAAATACATTTATAACCTCTATTTTGGCAACATACAGAACTGCGATGACAGCAATTACAATTCCATCTCATTTTGCATTACCTCACATGGCTATTTAGATTATTTAAACGTGATGCATGTAACTGTAAAATTCTTTCTCCTACCTCAGTTTAATGTGCAAAGATATAAGTAAAATATTTGTAGCATCGACAGCATTAACACAGGTTCTTTGATGTTTCAACATTGCTGTTAGTTTTTGTATTAAAAAAACTAATTATTGCATATTGCTGGTACACTAGCTCAAACTGGTGTCCTTGGCAGTACAGAACAATAATTCCAAATGACAGGATACAATTTGTTTCCTGGGTCCAATAAATAGACTATACAGGGACTCAAGCAGCCAAAACTTTTCACTAATTTTACATGAAGACCTTAAATCTGTCAATCAAATTCTTTCATCTTAACCCACTTCATAATCACCATATTTTATCTCTGCTTGGATATCCATCCCCTTTTAACTGCATTAGTAATGTTTTCATTCAACCCATGATTTCTGGTGTACAAATATAATCAAAGTAGATTGTAGACAGACCTGGTAGTGTCTTTGTTAGTGTCATCTTCGTCAATATCGTCCTTTCTTCCCCTCGTTTCCTTCTCATCTTGTAGTTCAAGGCAGGGTTTCTAAAATATATAGAAAAAGTAGAGTATATAAAAAGGTTTGTCCAGTGTCTTGCACAGACTGAGCCTATCGAATGGCAATCAAAGTAGCACAAGATAATTGTTACTCTGACTAGACATAGGGTGTTAGAACCAAATTCATTTTGATTTTAAAATTTGGCTGCTTGCTAACCTTGGTTTGGATGACATCCTCATTGCCCAGGTCTTTTTCTTCCTGCTCTGTGAAGACTCGTTTTTTGCGTTGGGCGGTTGGAGGCTTTTCAGCCACAGTTTGACCAACTTTTTCCGTGGGCTGAGATGAAGAATCTTTCTGGACCTCTTTAGACTGAGGAAAATAGAAAATAGGGCTGCATGATTATGACAAAAATCATAATTGTCGATTATTCCTTTGAAATTGCAGTTGCGATTATTAATTACGATTATCACAATTTACATTGAATGATTTTTATACCATTGTTTGATGCAACTGCATGCCGTATTTTTATATGAAAATAAACAAGCTGAAAGCACTCTAACTGAAAAACTTTTAGTGCTTTTCTATAGTATTAAGCCTCAAATGTCAAATATACATCGGATTGGTTTCTTCTTTAAATTATATTTTTAAAAAAAGTAAAAATATGAATGGTATTATAATATTATACTAAAACTAAAACAATGGAAAAACCTTTAAGATAACATGTAGAAAGAAAAAAAACATATCTTAAGCGTGCAGAATAACATAAGTGGACTTTGAACGATTAATTGCCGCTTTGAACGATTACGTAATTGTGGCATCCATAATTGTAATTGCAATTAGAAATTCGATTAATTGTGCAGCCCTAATAGAAAGTAAACTTAAGATATGCTTAAAATTTTGGGCATGTAAAAAAAGCATTTTGCATGTATAACAGTATGCAGTTCAAGAAAAAAAAAAGTGAATTATAAACAATTGGTGAAATTATATAAAAATGAAAGCCTATATCAACTCTTTCCTTGATTTGAATAAAAAGGACAGTTTCATGCTTATAATGCAAGTCTATGGGGCACCACGCCCCAAATTGGACCCACAGATTAAAAGTGGATATTTGTTTTTATGCATTGTGATAATAGAACCTGAAACATTCCTTTTAATGTTTTACCCACCATTGTAGTGCTTCAGTTTAGAATTCAGTTTCAGAAGTTTATGGTCTTGCAAAATGAACAAAAAGCTAAACGTTTGATGTAATTTACACATGCAGAAGAAAACGAGACACAAGAAAAATAATGCCAAGGTTTGAAAGGTGTCATGAAATAGGAAAAAAATCTTAATAGCTCAGGCAATCAATATTAATTTAGTTTATGCTCCTGTATGCTAGCTCTCTAATGCTAATGTCCTTCTGCCATTTATTTCACGACTGACGCCATTTTTGAGGAGCATAAAATTATAGATGAATTCTGACACTTGATTACAATGCTCATGAACAATGTCTCCAAAGTGTTTAAAGAGAGCAAGAGCGAGCAAGCCTAAAGGAAAAGATGAGAAACCTTTGAACCACTCACCTTCCTACCATCTGAAGTGGAATGACTTTTCTCCTCCTCTGATGATGATGATGAACTGGAGGAGCGTGAGGAGGATGAAGACCCAGAATCTGAGTTGGATGAAGAGGAATCGCTGGAGGATGATGACTTTCTTTTTTTCTTCTCCACCTCTTTCTTTTCCCTTTCCCTTCCTCTTTTCTTCTCCTCTGGAGGAGGTAAAGGAGATTTCTCCTCATCCTCAACTCTTCTGAGAGTCTTATGTTTAGTGTCTTTGCTTGCCTCACTATCCTCTGACGTCTCCATCTTCGCTTCCACTTGTTGTGCATGTTGTTGGGCAGACACCTTGGGGGTTTTGCTCTCAAGCTCATGAGGTGCTGAAACAAAGACTGATGTTTGATGGACCTGAGCGGCATCTTTTTCCTCAGGCTTAGATGTTAATGGAATTGACGGGGCTTGTGGCATCGGGCTATCTGAGAAACTACGAGGTCTCTTCAGCACAGAAGTCGGAGAGGATGGGAGAGCGGTTGTCAGAGGGGCATCTCTAAGGAAGCGGGACTTCTTAGAAGAAGATTGAGGAGACAGTTTTGTTGCAGCTATGGGTGACTGCTGTAGGACAGGCTCTGTAGATCGAGCATCTTTGCCAGTGCTCTGAGGTTCACCAGTCTCACTCTCGTCGGGCTTCTCCGTTGGACTTTCCAGAGAAGCAGCATGAGGCGTTGGATAGGAGAGACCACCGATATCACGACCACGCTTCCACAGAGGAAGACGACTTTCTCTTTCTTTCTCACGTTCCTCCTCTTTTTCAGGTTTCGAAGCCTTTTCTTTTTCCTCCTGGACTCTTTTTTGCTCCAAAAGTCTTTCCCTTTCCTCCAAAGCTCTCTGCTGCTCTTCTTTTAAAGCCCTCTCCTGCTCCTCTCTCTCTCTTTCTAAAGCTCGCTCTCGCTCCCGCTCCTCCTCTGCTTTCCTATGTGCTTCTCTCTCAAGCTCAAGAGCTTGTTCTTTCTGCAACTGTTCTTCTTCCAAAGCTTTCTTTTTCTCAATTCTTTCTCGCTCTTGCCTCTTGCGTTCCAGAGCAGCTTCTCTTTCATGTCTTTCTCTTTCCAAAGCCCTCTCTTTCTCCAGCCTTTCCTGTTCTTTGGCCCTCTCCATTTCTTGTCTCTCTTTCTCCAAAGCAGCTTCTCTTTCATGTCTTTCTCTTTCCAAAGCCCTCTCTTTCTCCAGCCTTTCCTGTTCTTTGGCCCTCTCCATTTCTTGTCTCTCTTTCTCCAAAGCAGCTTCTCTTTCATGTCTTTCTCTTTCCAAAGCCCTCTCTTTCTCCAGCCTTTCCTGTTCTTTGGCCCTCTCCATTTCTTGTCTCTCTTTCTCCAAAGCAGCTTCTCTTTCATGTCTTTCTCTTTCCAAAGCCCTCTCTTTCTCCAGCCTTTCCTGTTCTTTGGCCCTCTCCATTTCTTGTCTCTCTTTCTCCAAAGCAGCTTCTCTTTCCAGTCTCTCCCTCTCTAGAGCTTGTTCTTTTTTCTGCCTCTCTTGTTCCTGCCTTTCCTTCTCAAGCTGCTCTCTTTCCAATCTCTCCCTCTCTAAAGCTTGTTCTCGTTCTTGTCTTTCCTTCTCAAGCCGCTCTCTTTCCAATCGCTCCCTCTCTAAAGCTTGTTGTCGTTCTTGTCTTTCCTTTTCAAGCCGCTCTCTTTCCAATCTCTCCCTCTCTAGAGCTTGTTCTCTTTCTAGTCTTTCCTTCTCAAGTCGCTCTCTCTCCAATCGCTCCCTCTCTAGAGCTTGTTCTCGTTCTTGTCTTTCTTTCTCAAGTCTTTCTTTCTCGAGTCTCTCCCTCTCTAGAGCTTGTTCTCGTTCTTGTCTTTCTTTCTCGAGTCTCTCTCTCTCTAAGGCTTGTTCTCGTTCTTGTCTTTCTTTCTCCAGCCTCTCTCGCTCCAATCTCTCCCGCTCTAAAGCTTCCTGCCTCTCTCTCTCCAGTCTCTCCTTATCTTGCCTCTCTCGTTCCAGAGCTTGTTCTCTCTCGAATCGTACTCGCTCTCTTTCCAACGCTTGTTCTCTTTCAAGCTTCTCTTTCTCTTCCCTCTCCTGCTGTAAGGCCTTTTCTTTCTCTTCCCTTTCTCGCTGTAAAGCCCTCTCCCGTTTCAGAGCTTCTTCTCGCTCCTGTCTTTCCCGCTCCAAAACTCGTGCTCGCTCTTTTTCCAATGCCTTCTCCTTTTCTAGGGCTTTCAGCCTCCCTTGTTCTCGTTGTCTTTCCCTCTTTTTGTTTTCTTGCTCCCATAAAAGATCATCCTGCTTCATGCCATCACTCTCTTCCACCATCGCTGTCCTAACGACACCAACACCTTGGTTTGAGATCACTGAACTAGGGTATGACAAAACTGAAGCTGCATTAGCTGTGTGCGTAATTGCAGACACAACCCCCTCATGGTGGCTTCTCTGTCCGTCCATTACCTCCCTATCACGCTTTCCTGCACCAGAGAAAGCTCCCTCAGACGCCATCTTGCGTGCCAGTAAGGTCAGTGGGCCTGGTCTGCGTTCTGTGGAGTCGCCTGCTGGTTCAGGGCTACTGCTACGACTGTCACTACTTGAACTACCAGAGCTCGAAGAACTAGATATGCGCTGCCTAGACGGGGGCTCTCCAGGACTAGGTGGGCTCTGTTTAGGTGTGTCTGGGAGTGGAAAAGAGAGTTCAGGAGGAGGGGATGGAGGAGGAGTGGGCTGTCTGAGCTGCTGTGAAAGTAAAGGTATGTGTTGGGGGGGCGGCTGCTGCTGTTGCTGCGAGCTACCAGATCTTTCCCTCACCGGTTGGCTTTTTGGAGGCTGTGCTCGACGACTCCGTTGAGCATTGGCGTTCCACTCCTCCTCATCGTCATCATTGTCATCCCCGCCTTCACTGTCATCATCACTCTCAGCCGGTTCATGGCTTGAAGTTGGTCCTCTTTCACCAACAACCCGCACAGATAAAGAGGCTATTGCGCCAGGCTGGGCAGGTGCGAGGGGGGACGGCTGCCCAGGGGTTTCTTTTTCTGCGAGCTCATCACTCTCACTCCCAGTCACCCCAAATCCCCCAGCCACTACTGTACCTCCTTTGTGTTGGTCAACTAAGGAGGGAGCAACATCCTGGTGGAAATATGTGTTGGACACAGAAGGTAAGTTCAGGACCCAAAAGGTATTTTTCTTATCCAAAGTAAACACAATCAGGAGAACATTTAACCGTACCTTGCATAACTAAAAATGAAATAGACATTTTGTAAGAATTGGTGGCCCAGCCCAGAACAAACACTGTAGCAGCAGGGGATTGATAATATTTCTAACCTGGTTAGGGGCAGCACAAATACTGTCATTGGCCTCTGTGTGGTCTTCATGGTCTGTTCCTTAAAAAGAAAAACAAATAAATAAATAAAAATAAACCATAACAACAGACATGTTTACAGACTAAACAGCGCTTTAATTTAAAATGTTAGTATTTCATCATTAAAAATAGGATATTTTTGTACATATGTATTTTGTATATACACACATATGTATATACATATTATCAATGTAAGTACAAAGAGAACTATCTTTTTAAAATTAATGTGTAATTTTAACAACTAAAATTGTTATAAAAAACTTCATAATTCCCATCTTTTCAATCAATCCTTTTCATAGTACACTGATTTTAATGGCCTCTGGAAAACCAAATACTGTAATTCAGTATAGAGTAAACTTATAGGACAGGGCTGCCCAAACTCGGTCCTGGAGGGTCGGTGTCCTGCAGAGTTCAGCTCCAACTTGCCTCAACACACCTGCTGGTAA